CCTCGAGAGCTGGCCGCGGCCATCGCCCTGGACCTGCGCGACCGCGGCTCCCCGGGCCTGGGCCCATTCGCGACGCCCGTCATCGAGGCGCGCGCGCGGCCGAGCGAGGCCCTTGCACTCCCGCGCTGGGCCCCGCCGGTCGGAAGCGGCAGGCCAGGGACAGGAGGTCACCGGGCGGCGCTGTTCCGGGCCCTCGAGCTCGGCAGGCCTGACGAGACCAGTGACCTAGACGGGTTTGTCAGCCGCGACCTGCCCGGGCACCTGCTGCCGACTGGCCCCAGAGCTGGAGGCGATCTTCCGCGAGCGCGGGCGGGCGGCACGCAGGCGGCTCGGTCTCGACCACCTCCAGCGGACGCCCGCTGTCTGAGGCACGCGGGCGCGTCGGAGGATCGGGCGAGCAACTCCAGCCCAATGTTTTTTAGGTGATGAAGCAATGAGGCTGGATGGCCTACACGATCCTTGCAGGGCGCGCAAAGCATGCTCGGCTCGGCCTGGCGCCGCTGCGCGCGGGGCCAGCAGCGGCGGCGATGGCCCAGCGGCGAGAGCCACAGTTGACCGCGCTCTTTCTCGCCGCCCGGCAGCGGCCCGGCGGGGTGCCACGGTCGGCCACAGACAAGCATTTCTCGACATCTTCGCGGGAATTGGCCCATCGGGGCGTTCCTTGAGAGACCCGGGGCACAGCGTCATCTTCTTCGAGTAATAGCTGGGCCCTCGTTTTGACCTCAGGCGCGCATGTTTGTGCCACTGCGATGGGCTGGCTGAAGGCCAGCAGAGCGCGGGGCTTCAGGCTGGCGACACCTTGCGCGACCGCAGCGAGATCTCGCCAGAACAGGGCCGCCGGAACGCCGCCCCCCCGGTCGTTCCAATGAACATATACGCGGGCTGCCGGGGCTGAGCGAGCGTCTGCGCGAGCGAGCGAGGGAAGCTCACGTGCTGATCGCCCGCGCTTGGCCGCCCTCGAAGACCGCCGAAGGACTGGGGGTGCCGCGCGGGGAGGAGAACCCAGCCACCTCGCAACTATTTCTTTTTCCTGTGCGCCAGCGGTTGCTGGTCAACTGACCGCGCCTCAGCGTTGACTTATGTGCCTGCGGCCTTCAAGTGCGCAGGCGAACTCGTCTGCTCTTTGTGAGCCCCGGCAGTCCTGATGGAGCTATGTTCGCGCGCTCTGGCAGCCGCGGCACATGCAAGTTCCCCGGCAAACCCCACCTCGTCCCTCGCGGCAAGATGCACGGAGCTTGGGTGTCCAAGCTGGCAGAAACCTACCCCCCTCCAGTCGCTGAGTTCGTCGCAGGACGTCTGGGCATTTCAATTCACTGGTTGGCAGTGGCACAGTTGTCGAGAATTTTCTGTGCCAGATCACCTGTGGCTCTTGGCCGTGAGAATGGTTTGAAGCCCAGCGCCTCCGCGCCACGCGGCGATGCGTCTCGGCGGGCTGCCTCTCGAGAAAGACTAGCGCCGTCATCGCGGAAATGCGCGCGTGAGAACGCACTGTCCGTGGCCATTCGCCCCCGAGAATTCTTCGGCCGCCTTTTCGAGGGCGCGCTGCTGGATGGCCCAAAGGGGGGGAGGGGGCTTGGGCTTCGCCCCCATTATTTCCCCGATCCGTCGTCGGGCACCACACCCCCCCCCCCCGTTCCCGATCCGTTGTGGGGGCGCCCCCCCCTTCCCGGTCCGTCGTCGGGCCCCCCCCCCCCCTCTCCCCCCTTTCAAACGGGGCGGGGGGGGGGGTCTGACACCCCCTCCCCTTCCCCCCTTTTGGCCGCCAAATTGGAGCCCCCCCCCTCCCCCCATTTCGCCGCTGCGCCCCCGGTCTCTGGAACCCGACCTCTACCACCCCAAACGCTATTCTTGCCCTCGCCCTAAACCCCAACCCTAATCCAAAACCCAAGCCCTAGCCCCAAACAGTACTCACTACTCATTACGCACTACTCACTACCTACAATTCACTACCCGCTACTCATTTCTCACTACTCACGACCCACGACTCACTACCCACGACGCACTACTCACTTTTCGCTAGTCACTACTCACTAAAAACTTCCCATTACTCAACACGCACTTCTGAATACTCACTACTCACTAAACACAACTCACTACCCACTTCTCACTAATCGCAAACCACTACTTACTACCCACTAGCCACTTTCCAGTACTCACTACTTACACTTCACTACTCACTGCCCACAACTCACTACTCACTATCCACTACTCGCTACTCCCTACTCACTACTCCCTACACAGTACTCGCTGCTCACTACTCGCTACTCCCTACGCCCTCCTTGCTACCCAATACGCACTATTCACTACTCACTACTCGCTACGCCCCCACTACTCACTACGCCCTACTCCCAACTCACTACTCACCACCCGGTACTCACTACCCGGTACTCACTACTCTCTACTCACTGCGCACTATTCGCTACTTACTGCTCACTATTCACTCCTCGCTGTTCGCTAATGCCTACTCCCTCATCCCTACTCCCTGCGTGCTATTCACTATCCACTGCTCACTATATATTACTCCCTCCTCATTTTCATTCATCACAATTCCTTATTCTCTACTTCTTTCCCACGACTTAGTACTCACGACTCACTAATCTCGACGCGCTACTCACTACTACCACTACCCATTACCCACTACTCACTACTAACCACTCGCGATTCATTGCGCAGTACTCGCTGTAAAAGACCCACTATTCACCAATCGCTACTCAAAACACTCTACTCTCTACTCATTACCCGAGAGGCCCCCTCACTACCCGAGGCGCAAAGGGAGGAAGGGGGGGGGGTCGAACCTCTTCCCCCCTTTTTTCAGAGCCAAGGGGGAGGAAGGGAAGGGGTCGAAAATCTCACCCCACTTTCGAAAGGGGGAGGGGGGGGGCTCTGCGAGCACACCCCCCCTTTGGTGTATTCAGGGCCATCCACTGGCGCGCTGTCCGCCTTTTCACGCTACGCCCGAGCCCAACAAATCGAATTCTTTAAGCAAGGTGGTTTGAAGTCCGGCGCGGCGCCTCTGCGCCATGTGGCGATGTGTCTCGGCAAGTCGAATATTGAAGCAATTGTCGCCGTCATCAAACACAATTTCTGATAGGCTGATCATGGGAACCCGTGAAACTCCTCCAAATTTGAAAACGACCGCGCGGCGCTAAAGCGAGAGCCACATTTTGAAAAGGAGCCGCCCTCAATCCGTGAAGCTCTTGCAACTGTTCAAAATGAATGTGCTCGGCACTACGGCGAGAGCCACATGTTGAAAACGTGTCGCCTTCAATCCGTGATACTCTCGCAAAATTATACACGAATGCACGCGGCGCCAAGGCGAGAGCCACATTTTGAAAACGGTCGCCTGCAATCCGTGAAAAATTTGCAACATGTTCCATATTTAAGATCTGATTAGAAGGGCTCTTACTCTCTGGGCTTCAAAGGCCGGGCAGTGGAAATCGCCCCGGGCGGTTCCCCCAGTATCCGCCCCGCGGTTCCCCCAGCCCCCTGGGAATTTTAGCTTTAGCTTTAGCTTTAGCTTAGCTTTAGCTTAGTTTTAGCTTAGCTTTAACTTAGCTTTAACTTAGTGTTAGCTTAGCGTTAGCTCAGCTTTAGCTTAGCTTTAGCTTAGATTTCGCTCAGCTTTAGCTAAGCCTTAGCTTAGCGTTAGCTTAGTTTTAGCTTAGCTCTACCTTAGATGTAGCTTAGCTGTAGATTAGATTTAGCTTAGCTTTAGCTTAGATTTAGCCTAAGTTTAGCTTAGCTTCAGCTTAGGTTCAGCTTAGCGTCAGTTTAGCTTCAGCTTAGCTTTAGCTTAGCTTCAGCTTAGTGTTAGCTCAGCTTTAGCTTAGCTGTATATTAGCTTTCGCTTAGCTTTAGCTTAGTGTTAGCTCAGCTTCAGCTCAGCTTTACTGTTACTACTCATGCTGCTTTCCTAGGGGCTCCAACTCCTAGGTAGGTTCGCACTGGGATCATTGAATCGATTGCGCGTGGCGCTAATTAAGGCGAGAGAGACATTTTGAAAACGGGTCGCCCTCAAGCCGTGACAATCTTGCAAAATTTGAAAAGCGAATGTACGCGGCGCCAGGGCGAGCCACATTTTGAAAACGATTCTTCCAGGGCCATAAATGATGAGGAAGTCTCAAGCGAAGCGCCCGGCCCGCCCTAGAAACAGGCCCCAAAGTGCGACAGGGATAATATATGTATGAGGAAGAGGAATGGAAGAGGAGGAGGAGGAGGAGGAGGAAAAGGATGAGGAGGAGGGCCCCCCACCTTCGGCGAGGCTGGTTGACAGGTCTCGCCGAGTGTTGGATTCAACGTCGTGGAGGCCGTTTCTGAAACCTTGTGGCCGTCAGACAGCGATTCGGAATAATGTGCTGGTCCCGGGGGCGGGGGTGAGAGTTCTGGGGGCCAGCGACTCGAAAGTATCGACTCGTCGGAGGCACGGAAGGAAGCAAGAGGAGGAAGGAGGAGGGATAGTTCTTCTATCCTCTTCCAGTGTACCTTCGGGATGCGCCCTTGTCCGCAGAGCTGGGTCCGGCTCGCAATCCTGTTCCGAGCGCGCCCCGAGACGGGACCAGGGGGTGATTTCGCAGGCCCAGGATGGGCAGGAGGAACTGGAGGTTCATTTCCCAGAGATGCCATGGGCCGGACGTTCGGCGAGGATGAGCGGAATGAGCAGGAGCAGGAGGAAAAGGAACTGGAACAGGTGCACACCAAAAGTACCAATCAACAAAAGCATTACAGTGTCTTCGCGTTCGCGCAAGGTCGGGAGCCTCCTGGTTCTCCATTCCTATGGAAGTCGATATGACTATTTATCTCTCTCGCCCGTGAGAACCCTTACGCCTCAGGGCCAGGCAGGGGCACGACCATGACAGGACAGGTGTGGTGGATGAGCGAGGGAAAGTGTGAAGGATGCGGGGATTCCGTCATCCCTTTCCCTTTCGCTGCCTCCTCCCCCCCCCCTCCCCCTCCCCACGTTTCCCTGCCCGCCCTCCCACCCCACCGTGCTGACCTGCCAGCACGGCGACTACGGCCTCAAGGACCCGCCGGCCCCAGGCAGGGCCGAGCAGCGGCACCGCGCCTGCCACCCAGGTGGCGCCGGCCGCGCCTGACCCAGGGCGAGGCACGACGCTGGCTCCCTCCCACCCACCCACCCTCCTCCGCCTCCTCCTCCACCTTCCTCGTCCCGTTTTTTTTCCCCTCCTCCATCAACATCCCTCTCCCCCCTCTTCCTCATACCCCCTCACCTTCATCCTCCTCCACCCCTGATTTTCCGATGTCCTCCCCCATCCATCATCATCGTCCTTCCCCTCCCCCCTCCTCCCCCACCGTCCTCCACTATCCTCATCCTCCTGCCAACTAAGAGCACCGTGAACGGCAAAGACCTGCATAGCTCCCACACCTTGGCTTATCACAAGGAGTTCGGGAGCACGGTATGTCTTTCTTGTGGCTGTGTAGCCACTCAGGCCGTCAGGAAATTAGCTGGTCCTTGTACGACCAAGCTGAATGCTTATGGCAAGCTACAACTGAGGAGGTTACAGCAAGGCCTGCCACCAGGTTCCTCAAAGCTTGCCCAGACACAGCTGGCCCAGAAGAAGGCCTTGCGATAAACCGTGGGCGGAAGTACAGGCGTGGGTTTGTCTTCCCAGCGGGGGGCGCGGTGCGAGTGGGGACTGCCCGGCGGTGCGCCGTTAGTGACCCTCGCACCGTTGCTCCCCGGCCCCGCGCACGGCGCGGAGAGTTCAACTCTGCCTCTGGCTGGATGGAACAGACATCCTCCTACTATCCTCCTCCGGCTGCCTCCTCCGTCCTCCTTCCTCCTTTGCATCCTCCTTCCTCCCCCGCCCCCTCGCGCACGATTCACGTCAGGCGCGACGGGCCGTTGATCGGAGCGGTCAGCGGAGTGCCGGACGAACGACATGCCCGGCGCGGCTGAGATCACCGTCTTCCAACCGGTAAGGGGCGCCTTGGCGTAGAACAGATTCGAGGACCCCCGCTGCTGGCACTAGCGATGTCCTGACGAAGCAGCCCAGGGGGCTCTCGCACTTTTCCCGGACAGTCCCGTCCAGAAGGATTATTAGGCTGGTGGCGGGCGGCTTTGAGGCCTGACTGACACGCGACAATGGCGCTGCGGTAGTCACTGGGGCGCGTTTGGGGGTGGCGCCGCATTTGATGATGATACCTGGTGCGGCGGCCCCTTGCGCTTGTTGAAGGCCGCCTGTCGCGTGAGGCTACGCCCGCGGTGGCTCTTGGAGCTGGCTAGGGGCTGCAGTGCCCGCAAAAAGAAGCTTGCGACGGCCCTTGATGTTTGACCCGTAGCCATTTTGGCTCAAGTACGAAGCCGTGCCCTGCGGCTTCGTGCGCGCCTGCAGCCGAGGGGCCCACTGCTCCCGCTCCGTCACGGCAAGCCCCCGCTGCCATGGCCGTCTGCTTTCGACTTGTATCGAGCTGTATCGTGCGTGCGCCATGTCTTGGAGTTTCAAGAAACCCCTTGCATACGTGTGCTGCCCCAACCCCAGTTGCCCAGGTTGGACCTGGGCCAGCCGCCGCAAGCCGTTCTGCGGGCTCTGCGGCACCCCGCAGCCCCCGCAGCCAGGTTCCGCGCCATCGCCAGGGACCAGCGGCAGGGGGAATTGGACGGGCAAGGGGCAAGGGCAAGAAGGTGGAGGAGGAGCGTCTGGAGGAGGTGAATCTGGAGGTGGTGTGAAGCAGCCCCCGTGGCATCAAGACACGATTCCCTCGTCGCCCCCCCGAACACCGACCAGTCTTCCCAAGACCTCTTGATGGCGCAGCATCTTGTCAAGTTTTACAAGGGCTGGGGAGTGGAGCACACCGATCCCAGGTTGGTCTCGGCCCACGAAGCAGTCAAAGCTGCGAAGGAGAAGGCCAGAATCGTTCCCCTGCGCAGAAGGCTCAGAGTCTCGCGGCTCAGATCCAGCATCAGAAGTCCTTCATCACCTCTGCCACGGACGCACTTGCGAAGTTGGAATCCCAGGCAGCGTGCATGGTCAGGAAGTACGAGGAGGCGACGGCGCAGATTCGAGAGTCGAAAGCCCAGTTGGAGTGTCTCAACGCCCAGCTTGCTTGCCTGCGTCCTGGGTCAGCCTCGTGCGAGCCTCCTGAGTCTGAACCTGAAAGCGTGGTCCACTGGGTCCAGGGTCTGAAGGGAGCTCTGACAAAAGAATTTGCCTGTCTCTCTCCTGGGGGAAAAAAACAGCTGGAGGATGGTTTCTCGGCTTTGGAAGGCATGTTGGCTAAGATGAAGGACCAGTTTGGTTTCGACGCTCAAGCCAGTAAGATGTTGGAGGGAGCCATTCAGAAGCCCATGAAAGGCCCAGAGAATAAAGTCACACAGAAGAACATGCAAAATTCCTTGGAGGAGAAGCAGCTGCCAGCAGTTGATGAGGAGGAGGAGCCGTATGAGGTATCTGATAGAGATATGGAACCTCGAGGTGAGAAGCGCCTTGGCGAGGACCTCAGCAGCCTCCGGGAGCAAATGGAAGCCCTTCGTCAAGAGTGCCCAGATATTCATGACCAGGTGTGGACCTTCGTGAAGAATAAGTCTGGGAAAGCTGCCGAGAAAGGGAAGGGCGCCCAGCAAAGGTCAGGAGGGCATAATCCCAGGCCGAAGCCTCCAGGAACTGCGCCATCGCCCTCAGCAGGACCCCAGGGCGGAGGAAAGGTGGTGAAGGGGGGGCCCCAGCCACTGCCGCCGCCCCGCCCAGCCGGCTGCAGCCCCAGCATCCAGAGGGGGGGGGGGGGGGCAGGTCCAGAGGGCGTTGAGTTGTGACAAACTACGGGCCAAGGGCTTTGCAAATAACAACCCTGGACGCGAATGCGCTGCTACTTGTCAGGCGAACTATGACCATGAGTCTGATTGTTTTCATTCCCTGAGGCTTCGATTGTTCTCCTGCAGGAAACCTTGTTCAAGGGCGAGGAAGCCATGCAGTCTGCCAAGGAATGGTGTTCTGCTCGTGGCTGGCCTGGGTATTTCCCTATGGCTGCAGCGCTAGAGTCTAGAGTGGCCACTGGAGGTGTGGCTATCCTATTAAGGTCTGGGCAGGATCTTGGAGCTAGTCCTGCACCTGTAAGCTTTTCTATGCAGCACCGCATCTGTGCCCTGAAGATTGACATCCCTGGGCCCCCCAAGTTTTGTCTCGTCTCTTTGTGCATGCAGACGAGTGTTGGGTTGAATGCTACTAACCTTGAACTCTTGGAAGACATCGCATCTCTTCAGGAGAAGGTTCAGCCCCCTGTCATGATTGCAGGAGGTTGGAGCATGAAGGCTAGGAGGCTTGATACTTCGGAGTTCCTGATGCGAGCTGGCATGGGGGCGGTCGTTCCGTCGAAGCACATGTGTATCAAGAAGAAGTCGCAGACCACTATTGATTTCTTTGTGCTCTCTCATGTGATTGTTAGCATTGTCACGTCGACCTCTGTGCTCTCTTCGTTCCCTGTCTCCCCTCACTGCCCTGTGACGTTGCACACCTGGTCTGACGTCAACCATACTAACCCTGCCTTGCGTAAGTGCCAGAAGATCCCGCACGTCAAGCCCTTCGGTCCGTCTCTGGAGAATATGCCCTGGGTCGAGTTGGAGAGTCAAGTATCCAGATTGGAAGAGTGGCGGGGTTCCTGTGGGAAGTGGCACACCCAGCATGTCCTGTTTTGAAGCTCGGCAGGTTGCTCTTGATGTTGTGTACTCAAGTGTAGCCATGGAGTTGGAGCGTGCCATCAGTAGGACGACGGACACCCCCCTAAGATTGTTTCGCAGAGGGCCCGCAGTGCTAGGATCGTGCACGTTCTTATTGTCCAGCACTGCAAGAATCTGAAGTTGGCTTGGACGTCCTACCTAGTACCCCTGAGGTGGATGGTTCAATGTGCCCAGAATGTCTGTTGTTTCTTGGGAAATGAGGCGGATCTTAGAATGCATCTTGAGAGTTTGGAAGGCTGTCCTGCTGAGCACAGGTCGGCCCCCTCGCTCATTTGCCATTTGGACAGGGCCAAGTTGTTGGCAGAGGGTCTTCGACAGGACCTTGATCAGCAGTCTTTGACCATGTACGTTGCTGAAGGCATACTTGGAGATTTCCTGAAGGATCTTGAACTGGCTTTGAAGGCTGAAAGCTCCAGGGACACCCTCGGCTCCATCAAGTCCTGGAAGGAATGGGTTCGCAGTCAAGGCAGCTCTGCCTCCTGGATGCACAAGTGGACCAAGTGGAAGGATGTTTGGAAGCCTGGGGAGGTGCTGCAGCGCTCGGGCCAGTGGTCTGGGCAGCCTACCAGCATCCTCAGGGCGGAGGCGGATAGGCTGGAGCGGCTCTGGAAGGGGGATGCCTCCCCTCCTGCTCATTGGCAAGTGAATCATGCAGGTAGGAAGCCTGTCCCCCTCGCCACCCCAGACGAACTGGGGAAAGTGCGCGTCGCCTTCAGCTCTAAGACGTCCCAGACGATTGACGGGCACCACCCCCGTCACTCTCTGATGTGCTCAGACCAGCAGTTGGGAGTCATCGCCAGGCTTCTTAGATGTATCGAGCAGCACGGGCAGCCCCCCTCTGTCTTGCAGGCGGTCGTTACATGTCTCATACCCAAGCACAAGCCAGGCGCGGTCAAGTTTCGTGGTATCGGCCGGTGCGTGTCTCTGTATCGTGTGTATGGCAGGCTTCGTCAGAGTGTTGCTCGCTCTTGGAAACGATCTCATCGGCTTCGTTGCTTGTGTCATCAGAAGGGTGTTTCCATGCTTGAGCTCGTGTTCGCGCAAAACTTCAGGGCTGAATCGGCGAGCATGTCTGAGAAGTAGATTCACACGTCGGCTGTGTTGTATGATATGAGTAGTTTCTACGACCATATCGACTTAAACCTTCCCTGGGCCAGGGCCCAAGACACGGGGTTTGACATGCAGGTCCTCGCCGTGATCTGCAACATGTACCGTGCGAACATGTTTTTCCAGGTGGCAGGTTACGCGTTGGAACCGTCCTTCCCTATGCAAGGTATTCTGGCTGGTTGCCCGTTTGTTACTTTCCTGGTGCAGGTTTATTCCCATGGGCCAGCCTCAAAGCTCCAGCAGGACCTTGGAAGGTCTGATCTGTTCCTCTCCATCGACGACTGGGTGATTCTGAATCAAGACTCGGACCCTAGATCCCTTGTCACCAGAACTGCCGAGAGCTCG